GCACTTCCCCGCATCCCCGCGGGTCCCGGTGGTCCTGCCGCCTCCGGGGTGGTGGGGATGGAGTGTCACCCGAAAGGCGTGTGTGTGGTGTTACATCCACCCACACCCTTGCACAGAACTGTAACTAACTCCTCTAGCATGTCGGAGTCTTGATTTTCTCAGGTGAAGTGGATCCTATGACTTTTTAATAATATAAGGCATGCAGTCTTTGACAGATGTCTGCTGCTGATAGAACTTCATGCAAACAAACCCTCAGCAGGTTTGGGTGCTTTGAACCAGAAGACCAAACGAGCAGACTGAAAGACAAAGCCTGTCAAAATGTGGCTGTTCTTTTGCTCATTGTAGTTAGTAGCTAATATCAAAGCACCATTTTATGCGATGAGGTGTTTAATCAAATTCAGTGGGGTTTTTTTTCATATTGCATCATAGCAACTTGAGTTTCTCTGTGAAGCTTTGGATGCCTGAGGCTTTTAGAAAGAGCACTGGTTAGGAAGAGTAGTGTCTATAGTCAGACAGTCAGAGGGGAGTTGCTCCAGAGATGCATCAGAAGGAAATTAGAGCTCTTGAAATGTTAAATAACTGAAACTGATTGTAGGTAACTAATCCCCCTAAGTATTTTGCATATTGTTGATAAGCCAAATTGTGTGCTGATTAGGGCTTTAGACATGGGCAGCTCTGTTACTTAATGGAAAACCTAGTCAAGAGAAAATGAATTTGCCTCTACAAACCATGTAGTGGAAAATATAAAAAGCAAAAGGCCTCTGGCAATACTGAGTACCATTTATTACAAAATATATCAGAGAGCTGAAAAATTTGGTGACTGAAGTTAATAAAATAGAAGCAACAGTAAGAGAGAATAAAAATCTTGCGCTTTATGTATGTGTGAACTATTTTTCTGTTTTGACTTCAGACTTTATAGAACTGTGATAGTTTTTTAATCACTGTGTGCTAGCCCTTTCATGTGCCTCCTGTGTCTATCAGTAAAGACCAGTGTTTCCTGTCGGTGACCTGATTCGTAACAGTCTAAGGTCCCGCTCTGTATCCTACACATATGTCTGTTGACAGCTGCCCACAGGTTTGATACGTGTGCTGATAGCCTTGCCTTATGATCCCTTATAGTGGATTTGACTCTCCACCCGTGCTCGAGTAGCCAGCTTCTGGCTTGTGAGCCTCCTTCAGCAATACATCTCCCGCTATGGGACTGCATTTTATGGTGGTGGGATTTTGCTTGAGTATCAGGGAATGTGAACAAGTAGGGATTGCTGGGGCCTATTTCTTTGGGTGAACCCCAGGCTCAGCTATATGCTCCGTGCTGCCCAGCAGTGGAGTTGCAGAACAGCTGGGTATGCCACAGTTGCTTCCTAGCTGCCAGCTCTGCACCGGGCACCCTGCTGTCCCCTCCCAGGAGTACCCAACAGATGAGGTGGGAGAGCTGTAGCTGCTGGCCAAATGCAGTTTTTGCTCTGAGGATGAGGACTTGTGCCTCCACTCGCAAGTGTGGTGTTCAAAGCACGTTGTTTTCTAAAAGCACTTTCACACTTGCAGAAAAATGGTCAAGCCACTGTAGCAGAGAAAGAGAGAAAGACAGAGAGTTATGCCAGGTCTTTTTATTTTTCTCATGCGTTAAATTGAAGAAATGCAGTACATCCAAAGTACTCTATTCAGTATTATTATGAAAACCCGAAATACCAGTATTCAGCCTAATCAATGAATCGTAGCTGAAGTACGTAAGAGTCATCTGAATGTGTGCAGAGGTGGCTATTGTTTTTCTCTTCCTAGAGCTAAACTTCCCCTCTCTCTCTTTTGCATGCTTTTGAAATCACCTATCACAAGGTCTCCTGCTACTTCCTCATGCCAGATGGTTTGATTCTGATTAGCTGGCAAATACGAATTTTGTTTCGTATTTGTATTTCTTAGTTTTATTCCCAAGGAAGTGTTTACTGCTTAAAATCAAAACAAAAAACATCAGACCATAAAAATGTTGATTTATCTGTGAACAAAGTGTTTCCACTGCAATTTGTACATTGTATTGCTAACCAGCAGCAAATTACATAGGAAGTTATAGCGTAACTAGTTTTGTCAGATTCATCGCTACTTTTTAAGAGTAAGTTTTCTAATGAAGTCTTAGCTTTTACAGTATGCAGCTATAATATTGGAGCCTAGGATTCAGGGGCAGTATTTAGGTCTTAAAAGTAAGAGCTCATAAAATAACGTAATTATTGTAATCCAGCCTTCACAGCCTGCTCTGGCTATGTTTCCCTATAGTTTGTGATTCCTTGTTTTGTGTTCCTCACATTCAGTGTCTTCTAGATTCGCCACCACAGTGAATGTTAGCACATCTCAGCAAGAATCCACTGGACAATAAAAAAAAACAGGCTTAGAGAGTTGAGATATCATCCAAAAGTGCTGTTTGTTTTACAAGACGTTTTACAAGTGTAAAGTTGCCAGAAACTTGGTGCTTTGGAAGATGTAATGCCCCATTCTCACGAAATGCTCTCTCTTGCCGTTGCTCTAGCTATGGGATTGCTGGGTCTACCAATGTGACAGGAGATCAAGTGAAGAAGTTGGACATCCTTTCCAATGACCTGGTGATTAACATGCTCAAATCATCCTTCAGTACATGTGTTATCGTGTCAGAAGAAAACAAAGATGCCGTGATAGTGGAAAATGAAAAACGGGTTAGTAGCTTTAAAGGTTCTTCTTCCTTGATTTCAAATCAGCCTTTATGGGTATATTGCTTCAGATTTGAGAAACTGAAACTGAGCTAAAAATTTCAGAAAATATTTACTTTTCTATACTGAAGGGGGGGCTAGTGGAAAGTCTGTCAGCCAACATTTGTAGTTTTTGTTATTTCTGTTCTTAAGTTTGTTTGTTTTTTTTTTTTTTTTTCTTCTCTGTTGTTCCTCCCCACCTTCTTTTTTTCCCACCTTTTCCTAATTGTGGAAGAAACTTATCTCTTGTTTGTCCCATCTGATCTCTGGAACTATGCTCTGAGTCAGTCAAGCCCTTTTGTAAAGTAACTTTGTCAGTAGGACACTGAGGAGCTTTTCTGTGCAGGTCAAATCTTGAGTTCTTTAATTCATGCAAATTCTCCTTGAAGCTGGTGAAAGACTTAGCAACAATGAAACAAAAATAATTTCTACTTATTTATTATATATTGTTATTTATATTCACAAGTCTGCATGCACTTGTTAAGTGATAGTTCCTTTGTCCTAGCTAATATTTTGGTGTGATCCGGTAAGAATCTGAGTAAAAATTTAGCAAAAAAACCCAACTAAAACATAATTTAGGAAGTATAATAATATTTGCTTTGTCAAAGCAGTTCTTTCTTTCTCTCCTGGTTGAGAAAGGTTCAAAATTGATTTTGTAGGCATTGGATGAACAAAGATTGCTTTAGATCTGAACAAATATGGTTTTAGATCCTCAACAATCACTGAAGGAGGTGCATCGTTAATGCTTTTCGAAAATAAATGTGAGCTAATATGGTGTTTTTATAAGAATTTCTACCTGCAGAGTAGAGTGTTGCTGGACAACTAAGTTTCTGGCACCAGTGTGAAATCAATCGAAAAGCAAATAAACACTTACTGTTGTTACACATGACTATTAAAATGACTGTGGATAAAATAAGGGGGAAACAAGTTATTTAAAAGGTACAGTTGATTCAGCTGTTTTCACTGTACTGGCAATTTCCTGTACTGTCAGGAATCTGTAATACAGAAATAGGCAGGGACCATTCTTTTTCTGGGGGGGAAAACCCCCCATAATCCAGGATACGACCACAGCCTGGCTAGGGTAATTTCTGATCATCTGTCAATTCAGAGCATAGATAAAGTGAAATGTACAGTTTATGAACATCAGGTGTTAAAGGCCTTTTTAATGTCTGTAATTTTAACTCTACGTGAAAAAGGCTTGGCAATGCCAAATGGATTGGCATTAATTAAATAGATGAAGCTAAACTAATAATTAAAAAGCATTCTCTTTTTTTTTTAGTATTAAAAATTGTGTATGAAAACTTCATCTTTCCCATGTCATCATCTATTACTTTAAAGAATTCCCAGCTACTATGATGCCAAATCACACAGTTGACAACAAGAATGAAATCTGGGCCAAAAAATTTCTAACATTGAATTCAGTTCCTTCATAATCTATAAAAGTCTTTTAGTTTGTATTGCTGTGAAAGTCTCTGAGAATATTTACCTACTGAAATATTCTTATTTGGGTATAGTGGATAAATATGTCACTAATCTAGTTGTTTCCTCTTTTTTATTTCCTAGGGTAAATACATAGTCTGCATAGACCCTCTAGATGGCTCATCAAACATTGACTGTCTTGTTTCCATTGGGACCATCTTTGCCATCTATAGAAAGGTAAAATGTTTTCATGTAGGATAGGAAAAACTATTATTGTGCACCTTTTGATGAATATAATTGCATGTGAGCTTGTTTGTGAAAGAGACTTTCAGGACCAGCTTTAAGTTGTCTCCTATTTCACAGACGCTTGTATAAAACATTAGTGAGGGATTTGCATTAGTCTCTTAGAAGATGAGGTACCTATATGCACAAGGCTGGTTGAAGCCTGGCTGATACTTAATTAGCCAGCTGAAGGAATTACCCCTTACAAACAAATCAGGTCTTAGATTTCATGAATATTTGTGTTGAGACAAAATACCACGCGGTTGTCATCTAGTTGGGGAATGTGCTTTCAGGTTTTCTTGTTCTCTGTACTAATAGTCCTGTTAGCCTGAGGACAGGCTTCAAACACAAACCAGAGCTGAAACATGGCATGTGCATTTGAAGTGTCTAATTCACTCTGAAAGGCAGAAACCTTGTCTGAAGGAGCTTGAAATACTGGACTTACATGTCACAAGATGGGGGAAAAAGTAAGTCAGATAAAACACACCCAGCTGTCCATTTTAATCATCTTTTGTATGTTGTCATACATCTTAAAGCATCTATTTTCAACTTTATTTTTGTATGAAGCAAAAGAAAACAAAAAAAAATCCCATGTACTTTTGATCAGCTGTGGACTCTGTGAGTCATGTTTGATTGCTTGCTTTTCAACTGTGCCTTGGAGTTTTCCTCTGAGCTATGTTCATCATCACCGACAAGGAGGTACACAGCTCTATATTATCTCCTTAATCCTTTCCTGCTTCCTGCATTCCAACTAGGCTTATACAAGAGAATTCTAGATCAATGTGTTTGTCTCCTCCATATAATTTGTGCTAGGGCATCAAGTTGGAATCTCAGTCATGGATCACGGAAGCATTTGTGTCACCTCATGCATGGATATGGAGTACAAGACTGCCGCTGTCCCAGATAGTCCAGTTATGTACCAACTATAGAAATGAAGTAAAATTTACTGTGCTCCTTCTTATTCTAGATGTCCCCTGATGAACCTTCTGGGAAAGATGCTTTACAACCTGGGCGTAATCTTGTGGCAGCTGGTTACGCTCTCTATGGGAGTGCCACAATGCTGGTACTGGCCACTTCTGCTGGAGGCGTTAACTGTTTCATGCTGGATCCGGTGAGAATGTCTTCTGTTTCTTTGTTTCTTTATTAGGGATAACAAGGTACTGTCTATAAGAACTGTTTGTCTCCAAAAAAATCAAACAAAGGAGCAATTTTCAGGCTAACTTGGAGAAGTGAAGTACACTTAATAACCCATCAGCAACAATGTCAAGAGGTTTTTGCATTCTGCCTGCCAGCTGCAGTGGCACTATGTGTGAATCAACAACGGGAAGACAGCCGCCAAGTCAGTGAAGCAAATACACAGCATGCGCCAAATCATGTGATATTTAAAATGAGCTGTTTTCTGCAATGCAGAATGCCCTTTAAGATTTGTTTGTCTTTTCCTTAATGCTAGGACCTTAGTAAACCAGAGAAGCAGAAATATTTAACCACCTTCTGTGTTTTCAGATCTCACCATGGTGTGTAAAAGAGTAAGTGACGTGTGTGGGTGCGTTTGACGTTCTAGCACGCGTTGACTGTATGAGTTTTAAAATAAAAATCATATTGATCATAGCAGAAATTAATTCGCTTTAGTGACCTGTTTTTTTGTACTCAGGCTGTGCCACCTGCCAGTATTAAATTTTTAGAACTTGCAGTGATCAAGCAGCAGGAAATATAACTTGGTGCTGGCTGTTAAGTAACATCTTAAGTAGCTGCATGTATTTTTGTCTATATTCAGATGGCAGATTTAACTTTGAGCATGCATGCATGTTATTTTTTTTTTGTTTTAGCACTAACTTAGAAATATACTGTAGTGAAAACTAAACAGATCAGCCCTTGGTTACAGAGATTGGCTCTCTTGACTCCAGGTTTCCAGTTAGCCTGAGCTAAGACAAATTGGAATTTCTTAATATCTACAGCTATTTGAAGATGTTTATGCATTGATTGAACCGGCACTGTCAGTTTCCAAACTCCTCAGAGCTGTACTTTTATTGTAAGTCTAGCAAAAGAGTGGGAAGCTAAACAAATTTACAGGCAACAGCATTTTTTGACATAGAGAAGTGATAGAGAGCTGGGAATGGTAGTATGAAGAAGCTTGCATGACCCCAGGATCCATGCTTCTGTCTGTGTTTTATGGACAAATAAAACACTTTGCATCTAGACTGCAAATACCACTTTTTCATAAGTATTGCATTAATAAAGAAAGTGGCAGTGATGTTAAATTTTTCCTAAATTGTGTGTATGATTGGTTTTTGCCTTGGTTTGTAAATAGATGACCAATTAAAGTTAACAAATTGATTTTCTTTCTTATTGTTAGGCAATTGGAGAATTCATTCTGGTGGATAGGGATGTGAAAATCAAAAAGAAGGGAAATATCTACAGTCTCAATGAAGGCTATGCTAAATACTTCGATCCTGCAGTCACAGAGTATCTCAAAAAGAAGAAATTCCCTGAGGTAAAAGACCCTGTTTCAGAGAAACTTTCTGATGACAAGCAACACTCATAATTTCCAACTTCATGGTCAATCACTGTCTCGTGCCCTGTTTAGAGCTTGTTTTCCTTCCCGTTATTTAAAATGTATCTTCATGTAGGACTGATAATTAGAGCAGCAGTTGATGTGACCAGATATTTCACTATCCTTCAGTGCTGCACTGCACCTCTTTAATCCTTTAATCCTTTCTTTCTTTATTTTTTTCAATCTTACTTCTTGACGGGGCCTGAGTAACAGTGCTAGAGGCAAAACTGGGCACTTGGTAGTCAAGTAGAGAGGAAGTCTCATCTGGTGATGAAGAAATTTGGTCGACATGTGCGTTAGATTGCTGCTTCCTCACTGCAGCATCCAACTAGGTGGAGAGCTGAACGGGGATGGCGGTGGGTCATTGCTCAGTGGTAACACAAGTTGGGTCCTGAGGGGACCTCTCACTTCAAAAGCTAGTGTAGTTTCAGGGTCCACTTTGTGGTCATGCAGCTTCCTGGTGTCAGGAGGCCTGAAGCTCTAAGGAGTGCCCGTAAAAATCATGTCTTTTCTTGTGCCTTAAGCCTGTCATCACTGGAGTTATTACATGGACAATGAAGTGTCAACATTTACTATTGTTAAGTGTTCATGTCCCTTCTTGACTTCCTGATCTTGCTTTCAACAAAGACTGGTATGTTCCCCTGGCATCTTTCCAGGCTTAAGGTGTTGTTTATTTAGATATTAAAATGTACTCTCTGGAGTATAATAAGGAAATAATATCAGTATTGAACTATTGACTTTTTCTTACCTAAAAAGATGTAGAAGCTGGCAAAAATGGGTAGAAGAAGTAGGAAAGATCACTTGTTTTTCTCCTTGATATTTTATTCTGTTACAAAAGAAAAAAAAACACAACATAAATTCCTAGCACTTGATCTTTTTGCTACTAGGAATGCAGTATTTTCAAAGGGTTAGAGCACTGATGGAGAGCTGGGATACCTTTTCTGTTGTTGGCACTACCACTTGTCTATCCTGAAATTTTCCATCAGTCCTTTTCCTTGGATTTTTCCAATTAGAAAATGAGGAGGAAGCTGAATTGTTCTCCAAAACTACTTTGAATATTATCAATGAATCACAATATGGAGGAGTTAGATGTTAGGACCACTAAGACAGGAAAAAAAAAAAAAAAAAAAAGATTAACCTGATGTGCTCAAAAGTTACATTTATTCAAATGTTTTTCTGTAGGATGGCAGTTCACCATATGGTGGGAGGTACATAGGATCTATGGTGGCTGATGTGCATCGTACGCTGGTGTATGGAGGAATCTTTCTGTATCCTGCTAACTCAAAAAGTCCCAAAGGAAAGGTAAACCTGAACAAGCCCATTATAGAAAATATTACATTATCTAGATATTTCACTATACCTGATCAGTATTTTGATTGCAGAACATGTATCTTATTACTTGGTAGCTTGCAACTCTGGTGTGTGAGTACGCTCACCCCTTCCCCACTGTCATGAGTGACAGCAACCTGCTGTCAGATACCTATTTTAGGGCTGGTGCTAACCTGTTTCAATGCAGTGACTTCTCTTTATCCCCAGACAAATTCAGATTATGCAACATATCAGGGGATGTGCTGTTCAAACAGGTTTCTCTGAGATGGCAGTCTCAGCCCAAACCACGCTGACCTCAACCAAGAGAAACATTACAAAGCAAAGTAAACAACCCGCATTACCTTGAGATTCCTATTACCAGATAGTATGTAAGAAGCCTAAACGCAGTGTGTCCCTTACTAGAAGCTCTGCCAAAGAGAAAACCATCTGCATCTTGTACTTGGTAACACTGCCTCATCTGGAGGAACTATGCCTGGCTGCCTCTGCCAGGACGACAGTCAGTCAGGGAAGATCACACACTTAGAGGCTGACAAGGGCACTGTTTATTCAGCAAAGACCTTTCATCTGTTTTGTAATTGTCCGTAAATTATTGCTTCAGTTTGCAGATAAGATGCAGTTATTCATTAGAGAAACCTAATGGCACACTCTGGCCCAGTGTTTTTCTTTCTTTTCACATAGGCCTAGTGGTCTGCTGCCTTGTTAAAGGTTGTGTCTTACACATGAGCTTTATCTCTGTGTAAAGAGCACAATGCAAACAAGAGCTATGGAGAAAGTACTCAAATTGGGCAAATCCAGCATTCAACTGTGTTTTGTTTAAAAGAAAAATCCACACAATTTCATTCTTGAGTCAAAGTTTATATGAAATATGGAGTACTTGGAGTGTTGATTGGTTTTAAATCAAGTGCCAAATATATTTACATTTCATGATTCTGGGCATTGCCTGGGCTAACCATTGCCAATTTGATTTTTGTCTTCTAGCTGAGACTGCTCTATGAATGCAATCCTATGGCTTTTGTTATTGAGAAGGCTGGGGGAATAGCGACAACTGGGCATCAAGCAATACTAGATATAGTGCCTGAAGATATCCACCAAAGAGTGCCTATTGTCTTGGGATCTCCTGATGATGTGAAGGAGTACCTTGAGATAGTCAAGAAGCATTCAGCTAAGTGAAGAAAGCTTGCTGGATTCACTGTGCAGATGGGAAGAAATGCCTCACAGCTGAGCCAAAGAACACACTGCAGAACTGCCAGACTGAACTGTCTGACCTCTGTAGCAAGAAAGCAAATGAGCCATATTTTCATAAGATTTTTTTAAAGTGAAATCTTGTGCAATTGCATTGTGCAATCAAAGGCATTAAAAGAGTGCATTAAAGGAAGCATTAAAAGTAAAAGCAAAGGAAAAATATGTTTGCTTTTTCATTTATCATTTGTGATTACTCATAAGCCACTGTGCTACAAGGAATTACTGTGTTGCATTCAATAACTAGGGACTCACTCAACTTTCTCAGACAAGCTACAGACTATCTCCAGAGTATCTGACTCTGTCCTCTTCTAAAAATCTTGGGGGGAAGACTCAGCAGCCTCTTACAGTGAGTAACCTTTTGTAGACCAGTTTCTAGTTCTTTGACAATAAATAACGTGGACACCTTCACATGTTGTTTCTAGGCCCCAGAAGTTACTCAGTGTACTTTGGTTTGGGCTTATTCTAACCGAGAATTAACATTTGTGAAACATGTACAATAGTGTATGTTAATTCTGACACATACTGTTGATAATAGCAGTTGGCACTTTTGTCAGATCCAGTTTCACAAGGATGGAATATGACCTTTTGGAAGTGGATTTTGAATTGGATAACGAGCACGTGTAGACAGCTCGGTACCATTCCGCTGTGATGAGCTGTGTATCTTTGCCAGAAATTATCTTGGTACCATTCTGCCGTGATGAACTGGCTATCTTTGCCAGAAGTTAACCTGCTTGCTTGATGAAAAAATGAACCTGCGTGTTGCTAGCAACACACACCACCAGCAGCCCAACCCCCAGAGGTGTTCTTTGTGTGTTATTTTGGGAGTGTGCATTACCATGGAAAAGAATTCTGCTGCGCAAGCAGAAGTAAGTTGTGAAGATCCCCACAAAGCATACTGACATTTAATATGCTGATGCAGAGCATGCTGCTGGGAACACAACATTAGTGCTCATGAGCTAAGGATGGGCTGTCTACCTGTCTGGGTGCAGTTTATGGCCATGGCTCACAAGCTTTTTGAATCAGTCCGAATCTGCGAATCTTTGACATTTCTCACTGCACGCTTACCTTTGCCAAACTCAAACTAAGGGACACGTGGATATCACTGTTGGGTAGACTGCCACCGAACATTCACTCAAACCGGGGTTGGGGAGCCCCTGTCTGTGCATACAATGACCTATAAACCTGCCTGTCTGAGGATTTTGTATACATCAGTGCAGATAGCCTGTCTGACCTTGGTTCTTCTTGTAAAACAAGAAGAAAAGAGTGGGGGTGGAAGCTAGGGGCCATGGTGCGAAGATTTGGTCTGTCAGGGTTCACACACAAAAAAACCTGGGAGCCCTTGCTCTGACACAGACTGCATTTGGGGCATTTGGAGGCATACTGGCAAACCTTAGGTAGGTGTATATATGCATCTGTTGTCCAAAGTGAGAGTCAACAAGGCTTTTCTGGCAGGGGCGGAATGGCCTAGTTTCTGCTGAAAATGCTGTTTCTGGTGAGGCTTTGTAAGTGAAGATGGGACTTTCAGTGACATGAGCTCTTGAAGGATTGGGACAGGCCTGGAAATCTCCACTGAGCTCTCGTTCTGCTTGTGCACTCGCTTTTGACTCTGCGAGGGCCGGAGTCTGGCCCTGCACAGGACCTGGCTCCTCTGTAGCCCAAACTCTACTCTGGGAAATGAGCCGACCATGGCTTACGTACTTTGCCTGATATGCACCTGCAAAATCAGGCACTCCACAAACAGCAACCATGCAGTATGCTGCCTAATTTCTCATTAATTCGCCTCTGGGAGAAGGCTCAAACCCACATATCCTGGTAAGATGCCTGTGTGGCCAGTCTGGGGGCCAGCCTGGAAGGAGAGGTTTTACTACCCCAATCTGTGAGCGCTGTGCCATGACCTGGGAGAGGACTTCATGATAGCGTGTAGGACAGCTGTGTGCCCGGGGACTCCTGTGGCCCGGGCTTTTCTTCCCAGGCTGCTCTTTCTTGTGCTAGGACCAATGCTGCTTCCTCTGCCTCTTCGTGTGAGCAGCCAACTGCTGGGGTATGGCCGTGCTCTCGCTTTTGTAAAAGAGAAAAAAAAAATGCAATCCTTGCATCTGTTTTGTCTTTTCATCATGATTTCAAAAGAAACAGCTAGTGTCTCTCAGTTTTGATGAGGAGTGAAGATGTTAGGAGTAGCTGGAGATGCAACCCCACACACTGAAACACTTCCCAAAGGAGCTGCATGTTCCTGTCCCAGGCATTGCCTTACTTGCTGTCTCTGGAACATACCCCATAGCACTTTAAAAGGCTCAAGCTCACTTAAATCAATGACAGCAGGCAGCATGCTGAGAAGGACTAAACCTCTCTGAGGTTCTGGATGCTGCTCCTAGAGGAAAGCGCATGGCTGTTGTTGTCAGGCACAACTTTAGATCCTTAAGTTTTTAATGTGATCTGTCCCCAGAGCCATAGCTGGACACAGTTTTTTATTTAATACACTAAGCAGAGGATAGTTGGAAGCCTTACAGCTTTTTTTCTGGCTTTCTATATATCAGTTTGGACTACAGTGCCTCACAAATCTGTTGGCACAACTTGACAAACAGTATCCACAGCAGATATTTTTGTGTAGTTATAGCAATTCCTTGGCTGTATTCTGCCACCAACCCCCCGGGCTGCATATACCTATTTTTAAGACAGCATATTGGCAGCAGGTAAAGGTTATAGACAGAAAGGCAATACTGCCCATGTTTGCTAGGTCAGTTTCCACTGTTTTGGTTTTGCCCATAGGCTGACATTTTATAGTTAGCATTTTTCACATTGTGAGCTGTGTTTTTCTTTCTGTCTGTAATAGATAAGCCCACATTTGCATGGCCACCCCATGCAGCCACCAGCGGGCAGAACTACTCAGTAATCTCCTTCCACAGCCCCCTTTCCAGAGCTCATCTTGAGCATCGACGCAGGGAGGG